CTTAAACCCTAAACGCTAAACCCTTCGGCTGATGACCAAGAGCTCTCAGGCGGTTGAGGGCTCCGGCTTACAAACTCACCAGGACCTTCACCCCAAACCCCAAACCCCTGAACCCTTAAACCCTAAACCCCTTAAACCCCTAGAGAATCCTGCAGGGTCGCCACTAACCCCTAACCCCTAAACCCTTGAACCCCTAAACCCTAAAGCCCTAAACCCTTGAACCCCTAAACCCCTAAGCCCCCAAACCCTAAACCCCTGAACCCCTAAACCCTAAACCCCTAAACCCCTAGAGAGAGTCCTTGAGGGTCCCCGGGTACCCCTAGAGGGCCCTGCGAAGACTGGGGCCTTGGCTCTTCTCCACCCTACCTGAACCCCCCAAACTTTAGGGTTTAGGGTCAGGGTTTAGGGTTCAGGGTTTAGGGTTTAGGGTTTCAGGACTTGGAAAATAGTAGGGGACATTAATCTAGTACCCTAAATAGTAAATCCGTATATTAAGGACCCCAAAATGCAGTACCCTGAATAGTAGGATCCTTACTAGAAGGACCCCAAATAAGGTACCCCTCATTTTCGGGAGCTCTCACATGGAGGAGCACTAAAAGGGTAGGTTCCTTGGGGTCCAGGTGCAGGCTGCAACCTGAACCCCGACCCTGTCCTCACCGTGAACGTCCATAACCTGCGCCCTGCCCCGAAGCCCAGGTATGTGTGGAAATCTCGAGCGCCCTTGATCGCCGTGACTCGCCGATGATGCTGTTGGGTCTTGTCTTAGGTTTTTCAAAGTTTTTTTAGCATAAAAGCGTCGCAGCCGATCGCCCCCTTCCATGGTCCAGCGAACCCGAAACCTTGAGTGCTAGAGTAGTTTGTTTGTGGTATATAGCTAAAGGGCCCGCTAGCTAACATGAGGCTGCGGAGCTTCCGAGGTGGGTAGGGATTGGCGATTTAGGATGTTATCCCAAGCGAGCGAACGAAATTGCCCCACCCACCCGCAAACCCTGCATAGTCCGACAACACCAGGGCGTAGTACCCGAAACCCTAAACCCTAAACCCCTAAACCCCTAAACCCTAAACCCTAACCCCTAAACCCCTAAACCCCTAAAACCTAAAACCCTAAACCCCTAAACCCCTAAAAAATAAACTCAACCTCACGAGCATCGGTTTAAGCGCTTTCGCCTACCGGCCTGGCTCGTCAGACCTCGGCCAAACCCTAAACCCCAAAACCCTCAAGCCCTAAACCTAAAGCTCTAAACCCTAGACCCGCAACCCATGGATACAGGGTTGGGGTGTGGGAACGAGTGTTCGGGGTTTCGGAACTTCGTCTTTGGAGTTGGGTCTCAGTCTTAAAATATTAGTGTGTGTGACTTGGGGGTGGTTCCTTGCGTTGTCGAAATGTCCTCCGCCCCAGGTGCCTGTGCTGGCAGGCCTGAGGCAGTTACCGCATCGGCAGGTGGCCGAAGACACTCCGCCTCCTGGGTCGAAAGTCATTAGGGTTTTTGGGTTTCAGGGTGTTTAAGTAAGGTTTTTAGGTTAGGGTTTCGGGCTTTAAGATCTAGGGGCCAGGATATAGTTGGCGGTTTAGGGTTTAGGGGTTTGCTGGAAATAAGATTCTAACTGGATTGCGGATTTGTTTAGGGTTTAAGGTTTACATCGGGTTCAGGGCAGTTTGGGGTTTGGGGAATCTCGCTGTGTTGTCGGCTCATGTAAGCGTTTGGAGTTTAGGGGGGTCATCCCTGTACGTAGAGAGTTGGTTCGTCGGAGGACTAGTATGGCCTTGCTTTCGAGCGAGGCATTATTTCTCTCTTTTGCAGGCTTTTGGATGTATTACAGAGGCCTTAATAATTAGAATACGGTTTGGGGGCCCATGTTACTATAAGTGTGAGAAGTTCTAAGGAACCCCAAAACAATATAGGTAATTATTTTTGCCCCCACCTTCTTGTTGTTGAAGTTGGTCAGCTTCTCCGAGGCTTGCTGTCGCTCGTGAGTTGGGGCAGAGCAGTGCAAAGTTGTGCCTCCATCGATCCATGCACTAAATACTTGGGAGCCCAATAGGTAAACTTTAAACTTTTGGGGTAATTGTAGTAAACCCCTTCTAAAAGAAAAGTCAAGGGCATTGGGCTTAAAGGTAAAAGTCGGATGCCACTCCTCTCAGTGGAGAAGACGATGCTTAAACCAGAAGACCATGAAGAAAAGCACTGAGTTCTCGGAAGCCGCAGTCTTTTGCACCGAGTTCTCGGAAGCCGCAGTCTTTTGCACCGGGTCAATGTAATGGTGGAGCAATGCCCGGTTTGTTGAATGATGCTTGCTGATTCTTCGCCCTCGTCGGAAGTGGTAAGACCTCGAACTAGGTGACACATTCTCAAGACAAAAAGACGTTCCAGGATTCATAGACGTGTGTAGAGGGTACAAACTCAAACACGTGCATTCACTCAATCATGCATACATACCAAGACCTTGCAACTACTCTTGCAAGCCGCAAGTGCGGGTTACTATAGGAACCTGATTAAGAAACCCTGTGTCTTTCCTTAATTAGGGTACTTCATATGAAACCCTATATAGTGGGGGTTCTAGGGCCAGGGTAATGGGGAGCAGGAAGCCAGGCTTCGAATCATGCGTTGGCTGAATCGACCCTGCGCTTTCTTTTCGCTTCCTGAGGTCCAGTATTCTCTTAGAGATCGCTTTGCTTTCTGCCCTGGCCGTTGGGTCAGGCACGGGTGATTGGAGTTGCACGGGTTGTGGTTTGTGTTGTTTTATAGGGTTTAAGCTTCGAAGGTGTATGGGATTCCTGGGTGAGTTGTGTTCAGGATTTAGGGGTATGCGGGCGCAAAAAATTCAGGGTAGCATGGTGTGCTCTTGGAGTTTGAGCGGTCTTCTGTTCCTCACTACCCAGGGTCCCATCAGGGGTCCCAGTCCATATGCGAGCTCTTCTCCTGAGAGAACTGTGGTTTTCAGGTGGTCAGGTTAATGATAAAGGATTGGGTTTATCTGGCTTCGGGTTCAAGTTCCATGGATTCAGCGATATTCCAAATTTGATGTGCCTAAACCTGATCCGAAGCCACCAGCTACTGCATGAAAGACGAGCCAAAGCGGCCACGGAAGGGTCTTTGTTGCGGTCCCGTTTATGCGGCTTGTTTCGGAGTAGCTGACTTTGCAAGGCCTGTTTCGAAAAGGGTCCATCGAATTTTGCGCGTCAGACCCAAGCTCACCACATACAGACCCCTCGCAAAATCCAGCCCTAGCGTTTTTTGTAAACAGTAGGTCTTTGGGTGTGTCATGGTGCAAATTCTGACGCCGAAGCTCAAGGAGAACCCTTTCAGATGCTTACACATAGGCCCCATAGTACTTCCTTTTTGTGGCATATGCATATATTTAGGACCCTATCAGGGGTCCCAAAAAGGAACTACTATTGGGCCTATGTGTAATTAATGGAAGCCTTAAGAGGAGCCCAAAGTCACCTCCAAAAGAAGCGCCTTTTGAAGGCTTCGTGCGACTGCCCTTCTCGGCCACTTGGTGGCTGGTGCTTCTGGCGGCTTTCATCACCCAGACCAGGTGGGGGCTGGCGGTTTAGGTTTCCGATCGCACTGGTCTCTTCGTGCTTTTGGGCGCTTCGTTCTTTGAGGGTCATATAGGGGGCCTCAATAAGTACCTATATTATATTTGGGGATCTTTGTTATAACTATACTATACTACAAAGGACACCAAAACCCTATTCTAATTATTAAGGCCCCGACATAAAACCCTTATAATCCTGAAAACACTCTTATACTTATGATAACCCTTATAGTAACCCTTTGAAGGAGCCCTACTCTAACTATGAAGGCCCCAACATTACAGAATGTTTTTTGGAGCGCTTCTTCGCAGGCCGGCCTGTCAGACTGCAGGGCTTTCGATCCGACTCTTGCGCTAAGCCTTATAAGTTGGGGTTTAGGGTTTAGGGTTTAGGGCTCAGGGTTCAGGGTCTAGGGTTTAGGGTTTAGGGTTTAGGGTTTAGGGTTCAGGGTT